TCTTTCCCTCTGGTTCTCACATCTCTTTATGTTCTACCTCTATGCTATTTTCTCCTCACTCTTGCATCTTCACATTTCATTGCCACTACATTTCACATTTCAACGTCACCATTTTTCCTCTCATTATCATATCTCTTCATTTCCATAACATCATCTTCACGTCGTCTTCCACTACCATGTTCATCACTTCCATCATATTTGCTTCTAAACCACCACATTATCAACATTTAATCAAATGCAATAGAAAAAACACAAAATAAATAAATGAAAGCAAAAGAGAAAAATAATTTACCTTGATGTGTGAAGAGGAGGAGGACTACGAACAAAAGGTAAAGAAAACAAACAAAAATATGAATCTAGAGTTGAAAAATGCAAATTGCATTATCCAAAATTATAGAACACTTTTTATGTTGAGTATTGTTTCACTCATTATAGAAAGTTATTTCTATGACGAATGTCATTATACCGATCATAAAAAGGTTGAGGTCAACTACAAAGTTGACACTCACTAAGATATTGTATGACAGATGAAATAATATCCAACATAATTTTTTTGTCATATTTACATTTTTGTCATTGCATCACTTTCTATGTCATATGGATTACATACGACATGAAATTTGTGTAATTAAAAGTTTTTTTTTTTTGCACTAGTTTAGTCTTTATAAGTTTTCTCCTTAAACAAAAAAAAATTGAAGCCATTGACCAAAATCTTAACAAAAGAAAAAGTTTGAGAACTAAAAGTGAAAATAAACAAAAATTTAGGGACTAAAATCAATAAAAAAAAGATTTTCAAGAACTAAAATCAAAAATTGACAAAAGTTAAGGGATTGAAAATATATTTAATAAAAAAAACTTTTTTGAGTTGGTGATTAGTATGAGCAAACATTTTTAACATTTAATAAACTTTATCTATTTTTTGTGTGTATAATGCTAGTAATTGCAAAAACCTAGAACTTTTTTATACAAACCTCTCACAATTAGGCCGACATTAATAGATAATAAATCTTATCTATATGAAACAATTTTTCTCTGTCGTTTGTGATGATATATGCAATAATTATAAAATTGTTCTTA